AGAGAACTGGGCTCTCATCTGCCATTGGCACATATTCATGACCCATTAATAGCCAATTTGCTGAATGCATGTTTTCTCCTAAGGCATCTGGGGAAGGAGGAAGAATCTCCTTTATGCTTTCTGAATAACTACCAATAAGCCTTAGAGGGCATCTGCATCTAATTTTTCTTTTATGTCATCCTCATTATTTGCCCATTCAGTTTGTTTAATGGAGATAACAATTATTTTGCCCATTTGCTGCTGCTGCTCAAATGGCTGAAACGGTTTTGACTTCGATTTCTGCATTAAGCTGTTGACTGAGCTCCATTTTATTCATTTGATACAGCGGAGAAAAAAATGTAGCATTATAAAGTACTCCAAACAATTGTGGGGTTTTTAGATCAACAAAATAATTATGGGATGCCTGGGTGAATTTTGACCTAGGTTACACGAAATTTAGGGTGTATCTACACCAGTGATTCTCAACTTTCCTAATGCCATGACCTCTTCATACAGTTCCTCTGGTTATGGTGACCCCCAACCATAACATTGCTACTTCATAACTGTAATTTTCCTACTATTTTGACTTGTCATGTCAATATCTGATATGCAGGATGTATTTTCATTCACTGGACCAAATTTGGCACAAATACCCAATATACCCAAATTTGAATACTGATGGTGTTGGGGGGATGGATTTTGTCATTTGGGAGTTGGAGTTGCTGGGATTTATAGTTCAATCAAAGAGCATTCTCAACTCCACCAATGATGGAATTGAACCAATCTTGGCACACAGAACTCCCATAACTACAGAAAATACTGGGAGGGTTTGGTGGGCATGGACCTTGAGTTGTAGTTCACCTACATCCAGACAGCACTGTGGACTCAAACAATGACAGATTGGACCAAACTTGGCACAAATATTCAATACGCCCAAATGTGAACACTGATGGAATCTGGGGACATTTGGGAGTTGTAGTTGCTGGGATTTATAGTTCACCTACAATCAAAGAGCATTCTGAACTGCATCAATGATAGAATTGGGCCAAACTTCCCACACAGAACCCCCATGCCTTGAAGGGACTCATTGGTGTGAACCTACCTCCAGCCTCGCACGCTCTCCCTTGCACACACCATGTTGCCATGCGCTGAGCACACCTGCTCTCCCCTCCCCGCTTGGAGTCTCAGAAACAGCCCTCCCTATTGGCTGAGAGAGGGCTTTTGGTGAGAGGGTTCACCATCTGTTTCCAAAAAGGAAGAGAAGGACAGGCTGAGAGATCTTCAGCCTTCTCTGCCAAAGGGGTTCCTAAGTCCATCAGGAAAAAATGTCTTTGGCGATCCTTCTTGAGTTTTGATCCTTTGGTCATCCCACCAGGGGTCTTGACCCCCAGATTGAGAAACGCTGCTCAAATTGAAGATCCTGGGCTGGGAAGAGCATTGGATTCAATGGTCTATGGGGCCCTTTCAGGGCTATGGTTCTATTATTCTAATTCAAGTGCTGGTGAGTTAATGTGTTATCCCTTTCCATGTCCACCTATTCCATTGTTGACTCCATGTCAAAGACCATCACACTTAACTTTAATTTCCATCACATCTCTGTTCAGGTGGAAGTTTTACCCACATCCCAATCCAACAAAGCCTTAAACCATCCCAGAGTCCTCATTCTCACTCATTATTATCTATCTGAATTCCTCTGGTGGAGTTGCCTCCTTCAACTCACACTTACCAAATGCATCTCCCCCATCTTATATCTCTCCCACTCTCTCTCTCTCTCTTTTCTCCCACCCCTTCCCATTAGGGCACATGAGCTAACGATTTTGACTAACAGATGTTCTCATATTCCATATATTTGGGCTTCTCTGTAAGAAGAATAAGGGAAAAAAGAAAGCTTTTGGAGAAACATGGGAAGGCAGAGCCTATCACACCCCTGACTTCCATGAATTTGTGCCAAGCTTTTGGTAACAGGAGACAAGACACTGTAACTGGAAAACTATTTTTTCGGGGGAGAAAATCCCAAAGTCTTGCTGTAGAATGTGGGACGGAGAGGGGGAGGTGGACCGGGAAGCAAAAATATGTATTTTATTACAGCAAAGTATTTTGCTGTCATGGGTTAACTCCATCGTCTCCCGCTCAAATCTAATTTTCCACTACCTGTCTGCTTTAACTTCCAAGAAAATAAGATGAAAGCCACTCTTTGAGCCCAATTTGGTACTTTCTCCATTCAGTTTTCAGGTGTTCTGGGGAGTAGTCAGCCTAATTCTGTGAAGCAAACTTGCCAAGAACAGCATTCGCTTTATTGGCATTCTCAGAGCAGCAGGTTGTTGAAGTAGGTCAAGGGGAGCAGTGGGCCAGGCCTTTTGGACAAAGAGCAGCAACTTATTTACCAAGTTTTATGAATATGAGGCCTACTATTTAGGACAATGGTTCCCAACCAGTGGTCCGTGGACCACCAGTGGTCAGCAAGAACTAAAACATGGTCCGTGGCCTCACTGTTACTACTCTGTTGCAACGAGGGCAACTGGTCTTCTGAAACCTTCTTATAGTGCTGAGGCTTATTAAATATGGTTTTCTGTGGGCAAGCAGATTGTGAGTACTAGATGGCAGATGTTCTGTATCTGAAACTAGAGCTGATGTGGTCTGTCCAATGCAAGTTTCTGAATCATCAACCCAAATAATAATAATAATAATAATAATAATAATAATAATAATACTTTACTTGTACCCCGCTACCAGCTTCCTAAGGGACTCGGTGCGGCTTACATGAGGCCGAGCCCACAATACACAGTAAAAACAATAACAACAGTAATACAAAACAATAAATAAAACACATAAGCAGAAAATAAGCAATAAACATTAACAATAACACAATGACGTTTAAAAACCTATGGCTGGGCCAAATGTAATAATTAAAATTAATTATAATTAAATAACCAAAATGAATCTAAAGTTGACCAAAAACTTTAGATTCGTTGAATCATAGAATCATAGAGTTGGAAGAGACCTCATGGGCTATCCAGTCCAACCCCCTGCCAAGAAGCAGGAACATTGCATTCAAAGCACCCCCGAGAGATGGCCATACAGCCTCTGCTTAAAAGCCTCCAAAGAAGGAGCTTCCACCACACTCTGGGGCAGAGAGTTCCACTGCTGAACAGCTCTCAGTCAGGAAGTTCTTCCTGATGTTCATATGGAATATCTTTTCTTGTAGTTTGAAGCCATTGTTCCGCGTCCTAGTCTCCAGGGTTGCTTGCTCCCTCCTCCCTATGACTTCCTCTTACATATTTCTACATAGCCCTCATCATGTCTCCTCTCAGCCTTCTCTTCTTCAGGCTAAACATGCCTAGCTCTTTAAGCCGCTCCTCATAGGGCTTGTTCTCCAGACCCTTGATCATTTGAGTCACCCTCCTCTGGACACATTCCAGCTTGTCAATATCTCATTCATTTTCGTAACCCTTTCGGTAGTAATATTGGAGAGTCAGCTCTGGTCAAAAAGGTCCCTGGTCAAATGGGCCCTGGTCAAAAAAAAGGTTGGGAACCACTGATTTAGGGAGTTACTTCCACTTGTACTTTATTGTCCCAAAAAAAAGTCACACAATAGTTTTGTGACTTCTTTTGGTCAATTCAGTACATAAGAGGCGAAAGTGTACAACTTGGGTATATCTTCATTGTTGTGGATTGCTCCTTCAGCCATCCTGTCTACTATGAATGGTCATTCTAGGAAGGCTGAAGGAGCAATCCATTCCTTTTTGGGGCATGTAAAAAATCTCGAAGAAACAGGATATAAAAACATATACTTTCTTTGCTGATTTGAAGCAATGTTGAGTTTCAAAATGATAGTGTGGATATGGCAAAATCTACAGCCAACTAAGAATGTAACCAGATAGAGGCAATCTCTCGACTTTGCGCAAAGCAAAAATGTTGTTAGTCAACAGTGCTATTTTTCTTTTGCTTTGAGGCTATGACTACCAAAGGAATGTATGGATGGATTAGCATGGGATATTATGAACTAGTAAGACTAGTAGATGTGCACAAAGAGGCTAATTATAGCAATGAAGCATAAAGTAATTCATTGCTAAGGGGTTTCCTGCCCTTAAATGTGAATATTCTTCATGAAACTGTCTGGGAGTGTTCCTTGTAAAACATCAGCACACTTCCAACTGATTCTGTCATTTGGGTTATTACATTAGGTTGCTGGCACGCTGCAATTGGATACTGAAAATGAGCAGGTAAAAAAGGCCCAATTACCTTGAAAGTCTTCAGAATTGGGCAACTTGACTCCACAAATAAAATAATCCTTTTGATCATTCTGTGGATTTAAAAGCAGAAAAGGAGGTTGGACCGCAGCCATTGGAGAATAAAAGCTCAAGCCGTAAACAACAGGATCAAAAATGTAACATATAATGGAAGCAGACAGGCCTTCAAACATGTGTCCTAGATGTTTAACAGGAAAGCTAGGCAGAAGAAATCAAAAGTCATGTTCTATTTGGGTAGCAAAGTGCTGCTCTACAATTTGCCTGCTCTCTTCACTGCTTCAGAGATGGAGCTGCAAACTTAACCCTTGCCAAAGGAATACTTTGCTCTTGAGGATTAAGAGCAGTGAAGTTGTACTTGGCCCTTCTCTCCATTGTTTCAACAAAATTAATGGTACGCGGAGAGCCTAGAGAAGAGCCTTTACTGTAAACAAGATGTCTACTACATGTCCTGACTGCGACACTATGTTGTACAAGGTATGGTCAAACTCAGGTCTGGGGGCCGGATGCAACCCCTTGGCCTCTTTTCTCAGGCCCTCCTCTCTCTCACCATCCTATCCTTCCTTCTCTCTTGCCTTCCTCCTTCCCACCCTCTTTCTCCTTCCCTTCCAACCCTTTGTCCTTCCTTCCTTCTTTTCCTCTCTCCCTCTTTCTCCTTCTTTCTTCCCTCCCTTGCAACCTTCCCTTTCATCCTTTCTTTCCTTCCTTCTCTTTCATTCCTCCTTACTTCCTTCTCTCCCTTCTGTCTTTCTCCTTCCATCCTTCCCTTCTGCCCTTTCATCTGTCCGTCCGTCCGTCCGTCCTTCCTTCCTTCCTCCCCTCCCTCCCTCCCTCTACCTCTTTCTCCTTTGTTCCTTCCCTTTTGCCTTTTCTCTTTTTTCCTTTATTCTTTCCTTCCTCCCTTTCTTCTTTTTCCTTCCTCCTTCTTTTCCTTCCACCCTTTCATCCTTCCTTCCCTTTTGTCTTTCCTTCCCTCTGTCCTCCATCCTTCCCTCTCCCTCCTTCCCCTTTCACCCTTTTCTTTCTTTCTTTCTTTCTTTCTTTCTTTCTTCCTCCTTCCTTTCCTTCCTTCCTTCCTTCCTTCCTTCCTCCTTCCTTCCTCTCTTTCTTCCTTCTTCTCCCTGCCTTCCATCCCTCTTTCTCCTTCCATCCTTCCCCTCCACCCTTTCTTTCTTTCCTTCCTTCCTTCTTTCTTATCTTCCTCCTTACCTCCCTCCCATCCCTCTTTCTCCTTCCATCCTTCCCTTCCACCCTTTCGTCCTTCCTTCCTTCCCTCTCTCCCTCTTTCTCCTTTGATCTTTCCCTTTCCTTCTTTTTCTCTTTCCTTTATCCTTCTTTTCCTCCCTTTCCTCCTTCCTCTTTTTTTCCTTCCACCCTTTCATCCTTCCTTCCCTTTTGTCTTTCCTTCCCTCTTTCCTCCCTCCTTCCCTCTCCCTCTTTCCCCTTTCTCCCTTCCTTCCTTCTCTCTTTCCTTCCTCCTTCCCTTCCTTCCTTTCACCACCTGGAAGCCTGTCCTCTTAGCAGGGAGTGCTAGCATGACGCCCCCAAGTTAGAAAGTTTGCCCATGCCTGTGCTAGACGGACCATATTTTGATCTACGATCATCATAATAACCAATCCAGCCTACTCCTATCTACTCAGACTAGTAGCATCACGTCCATGGAGTTTCCTAGCATTGTTATCCAATATCTTTTTTAACAGAAATGCGACAAACTGAATCTGAAGAATCATGCTTACATAAATGTATACTCCAACTTTGGTACTAAGTGCTATCATTTTGCTTTTCAATAGTTAAGCTACTATTCAGAAAAATGCAAAGAACAGTGGCATGCTTCTGGATCCAGTATGGCTACAAAAACAGAAACTTACTGTATCAATAGGGTAAATATAGGAAAGCTCTGAAAGTAATTGCCTGCATCTGATGGTCAGTTGTGCATTCGTCTTCAAGAACTGCTCTCTGTAAAATAAGACAGAGACTGAAACGGTTAACCTCCCAATGATGGGAGCATGAAAGAACCCACACTGAACTCATTCTTCCTAGAAATTAATTTTCCCCAGTTTAGATTATTTTAAATAAGACTCAAAATTGTAGAATAAAATACACTAGACATGACAAAAATGATAGTTGACTTCAACAAAATTACCATTAATCATGGTTTTCACCTTCTTAATCTATATCACAGTTGTCCTTACTTCTGAGTAACTGGAAACTTGGCTTTGTGTTTCTGAAAGAGTATATAGCAAGCATGGGTAAACTTTGGCCCTCCAGGTGTTTTGGACTTCAACTCCCACAATTCCCAACTGTTAGGAAATATGGGAGTTGAAGTCCAAAACACCTGGAGGGTCGAAGTTTGCCCATATGTGGTATACAGGTTGAAGCATCTGTTTTTCAAAATGCAAAACACTCCAAAATCATAAACTGGACGTCAGAGAATGTGGCACTTTTGCTTTCTGATGCAATGTAGAGAAACTTTGTTTTATACACAAAATAATTACAAATTATTGTGTATAGCTGAAGGGAGAATAAGCCACCTTTTCACCATTCCAATCAAACTGACTGTAGCTATAATGGATTACTCAAAGAACTGAGACTTCTCTTACCTCCTAGCAGTGCATTCTTTCCTCAACTCTTGAAGGGGTTCTTTGTCCAGCATGAGCTGCCGATATTCCTCCTCAAACACATTTCCTACCAAAGACATTTCAGGAAGAATGTATTTAGGTTGTTGTTTCTTCCTTGGATGTAAATAGTGACAACCAAGGCAACACTACTGTAGTTTTAAACTATTCTTTATAATGCCAATTATGTATTCTCATAATTGTTGTAGCACAGCAAGTGGCTGAGGATTTGTCAGAGGATGATGGGGATGATGGGTTTCAAAATGAGGCGTTTGTGTGTGATTGGAAAGAATTGCAGGTCTCAGATAGGAGAGAATTGCAGACAGATGAGGCCGAGGTAGAGGAAGCCAATGTTTTGGATTCAAGTGCTTGTTCCCAAGCAACAGGGGAAAGTGAAAGTCCTTGGGCTGATGGGGAGTTTACCCGAGAAACTAGATTAGGCCTGAGAATGGAAGGAGTAAAAAACAGACAAACTAAATATTCTCACAAAAACTGCGAGAAGACCTTGAAATCCAGGTGTGTTCGACATGATGTCATGAGTGTCTGGACAGGCTTAAATTAAGTAATTTGGCTTCAATACTCTCAAAGAAGAAAACATTGCTACAGGATGATATTACTGTCTCTGCTCTCAAGTTCATGATTCATGTTTCCTGTTCTGGCTCATGTCTTTGTTCCTGGAAGGCTTTGCCTTGGAAGAAGCTTCTGTTTTCTGGATTATGGATTCATGTTTGAATAACTGCTATGGATTCTGGTTCTTTTGGCTTAATGTACTTTGCCATTTTTGGAATACTACTATTTTGTATTTCCCATTTTTGGATTACTGCTATTTTGTATTTTCTACTCTAGTGACCCTTTTGGAAATGCCACCATTTCCCCTTTGTACCTACTTTCCTTAATAAACATTTCTAGATAGTATTACTGGACTCTAGTGTGATGCAGACTGAAAGGTTGTTTCAGTGCTAGAGTGCAACAATAATCAGCAAATATGGTTTCAACCTCTATTTAAAGAAACCCCCATAGGTGGAGAGCCCACAGCAATCTATTCCACTCTTGAACGATGCTTAGAGTAAAAACAAACACCAAAAAAAAAAAACAATGTTCGCATGGAATCCTGTGACGATGTGTAATTTTATTCCTATGGTTATGTGTTGTTTAAATAGTAGTTAATAAATGTTAAGTATGTAGGATTATATTTTGTTAGAGATGGTGGCTGGTTTGGCTTGGCCTGAGTTGCCATAGCAATGGGGGTGGAGCCAAATGTCACCTAGCTGCACAGCTGTTTGAAATAGGCAGTCTGTGACCGTTAGAGTTACAGAAAGGACTGATTTCTCTAGTGGGAGAAACAGGGAAGAGTCTGTGACCATTAGAGTTGCAGGAAGGGCTGATTTCTCTAGTGGGAGAAACAGGGAAGAGTCTGTGACCATTAGAGTTGCAGGAAGGACTGATTTCTCTAGTGGGAGAAACAGGGAAGAGTCTGTGATCGTTAGAGTTACAGGGAAGACTGAAATCTCTGGGTGGAGATTCAGGGAACTAATTTGTGACCAAAGTGGTTACAGGAAAGGACCCGGTAGTGATAAAGCTACAGGGGGTTATTGATTCTGGGTTAAGAATCAAAGTTGGCTGGGAGCCAATTCTGTTAAATAAGCCTTTTAGCTTATTTGTTTTATTAGGACAGTTGTCCAGGAAAGATACATCTGTTTACAGAAACCTCTTAAAATCTGTACCTAAAGTTACTCATGAAACCTTAGAGCCGCTGCAAACTAACCTCCTGTGGGAGCAAACTGTGCCAGCACATCCCTGACGTCATGAGACTGCGCCTCTCTCTCCGCCCCTTTCTCCGCCTCTTTCTCCGTGCCAGAGTGGTTTTTCCTTTGCTAGGGCAGCATTGCCAGCGTACTCTCGTTGTTGACATAATTCAACAACGAATTTCTTGTAATTTGTATTATGTATTATGAAGTCCTCATGCTTCTTGATTTCTAGAAGAGCTTAGAGGAGAGGGTCTGGATGCTTGAAGAGACCTACGCAAGGAACCTACTGGCCTAGTGTTACAGTGGGAATGCCTCACTACCAAAGAACAAACTGGGCTGCTTTTGGACATATCAATGCTCCATGATCACCTGCCTGTCTGGTATAGAAAACTACTTACGGACACTTACCTCTGTCAAATAGTGTACTTTGTTCCTTATGTAATAAGGCCACCTCTCGGCCCAGGGCTTTTTTCTGCCTCTCCAGCTCATTTCGAAGCACCAAAATCTTCAACTGTAAACACTCACTCTCTTTTTTCTATATAAAAATGTAAAAATAAGTACTCAGTAAATATGTTGGCACTTCTGATTTATGTAAAGTGCTGAACACAGCCTCCAACAAGCTGATGCACTGAAAGGTCATAACCCGTCCATCATAAAAAGACAAGCTCTTATGCAACAGAACCATGTTAAACCCAATTTCATCTGCAAAAAACCATGTTCTGGTAACTGTACATGCAATTGTTGTGGGTTTTTTAAATTAAAAAATCACATTTTTTCCACTTTAATGGGGATCCTGAGCCCCAAATCCCATAGGATCCTGAGCCTCAAACCTCAAGGGAAAATTGAGGGCTTAGTGCACTCCATACAATTGTTTGTAAAACTATGTAAGAGGGAGATTTTTTAAAAGACTCTACGGAGAATCAATCACAGCGATTCCTGGTCTTGGTTTCTTTTTCTCAGTTCTTATGAGTGTGAGACATTTATATCCAGGTTTTGTTACATTTTTGCTATATATAATTAATGTGTTGAAAGGATTGTTTGAATGGTTTGCTGTGAGTTTTCCGGGCTGTATGGCCATGTTCTAGAAGCATTCTCTTCTGACGTTTCTCCTACATATATGGCAAACATCCTCAGAGACTGGTGAGGTCTGTTGGAAAGGAGGCAAATGAGGTTTGTATATCTGTGGAATATCCAGGGTGAAATAAAAAAAACTCTTGTCTGCTTGAGCCAAGTGTGAATGTTGCAACTGGCCACCTTGATTAGCATTCAATGGCCTTGTAGCTTCAAAGCCTGATTGATTGCTGCCTGGGAGGTTTATTTATTATTTTTTTAACTGCAAATTTTGTATACTGCCCTTCTCCACCTAGAAGGGGACTCGGGACTTAGTGTCCTTTGTTAGGAGGTGTTAGCTGTCCCTGATTGATTCCTGTCTAGAATTTCCTTGTTTTTGAGTACTGCTCTTTATTTACTGAGCTTTTTTTAAATACTGGGAGCCAGATTTTGTTCATTTTCATGATTTCCTCCTTCCTTTTGAAAATGTCCACATGCTTGTGGATTTCAATGGCTTCTCTGTGTAGTTTGACATGGTGGTTGTGAGAGTGGTCCATTTCTGTGTTCTCAACACGGCCATACAGTCTGGAAAACTCACAGCAACCCAGTGATTCTGGCCATGAAAGCCTTCTACAACAGATTATTTGAATATTTCTACTCTTTTTCTAATCTATATAAATAAAAATATAACATCCATTTGTGGGATTGACATATTTGCAAGCATTTGCAAATATTGAGTAATGGACATAGGAAAACAGAACAACTATACAATGGAATTGGACAATATTTTTATTGAGGATGTATTGACTTATGCTTTTATTGCAGTTTTTATGATTTTATTGCTGTTAATGTTTTTAAATTGTGTTAACTTGTGTTTTTGTGGCATTGAATTTTTGCCTTGTAAACCGCCTCGAGTAGCCGGAAGGCTAAGAGGGGCGGCAAACAAATAAAATAAATAAATAAATGAACTCAAAAACTCCTGGACAAATTGACACCAAAATAATAGAGTAAAATAATCTATATAAATAAAAATGCAATGTTTGTTTGTGGGATTGACATAACTCAAAAACCACTGGACGAATTGACACCGAATTTGGTCACAAGACACCTAACAACCCAATGTATGTCCTTCACTCAAAAAATCTGATTTTGTCATTTGGGAGTTGTAGTTGCTGGGATTTATAGTCCACCTACAATCAAAGAGCATTCTGAACCCAACCAACGATGGAATTGAACCAAACTTGGCACACAGTTCTCCCACGACCAACAGAAAATATTGGAAGGGTTTGGTGGGCAGTGTCCTTTGGTTTTGGAGTTGTAGTTCACCTACATCCAGAGATCAAACAATGATGAATCTGGACCAAACTCTACACGAATACTCAATATGCCCAAATATGAACACTGGTGGAGCTTGGGGAAAATACATTCTTGACATTTGGGAGTTGTAGTTGCTGGGATTTCTAGCTCACCTACAATCACAGAGCATTCTGAATCCCACCAACGATAGTATTGGGCCAAACCTCCCACACAGAACCCCCATGTGGGCCACAGCAATGCGTGGCAGGGGACGGCTAGTGTATATAAATAAAAATGCAATGTTCATTTGTGGGATTAACATAACTCAAAAACCACTAGACGAATTGACACCAAATTTGGACACAAGACACCTACCAGGCCAATGAGTGACCATCACTCATAAAAACATTGAAAAATGCAGCAAAAGGAACTTAAAAAGCCAAAATATAAAAAATACATTACAACACATTCGCAAAACTACACACACACACACACACAAACACACATATATACAAAAATATACACACAAAAAACACATATACACAGACTGGGCCACAACAACGTGTGGCAGGGGACGGCTAGTTTCTATATAAACATCGGAGGGAAACTTGGGTATTGCCTCAACACAAGACACTGCTGCTAAAGGCAGAAAGTTAGTTCTGTGTTGAAACAAACACACAACGATATAATAATCCACTGACTAGAGAGCCAGGAGAACAACTCCTGATGTTCCTTAATATTTACAGCCAAGCATTATGAAGGACACGAATTTTGCACTTCATGTCAAGCCTTACAAAACTTGGAGAATATCATCAAAATAAAATGAAGGAATCCTCACTCAGGGCTGATAACAATTTCATGATGAGAATGCAATCCAAAATGTCTTTTAACATTATCGATATGAGGCTCTAGGTGCCTACCAAGGTATGCTCATACAAATTTCCAAATTAAGTCACAAACTATACAGGTCCCTATTTTAAAGCAAACCATGCCTGTTTTTCAAAAACTAGTTGGTGCCAATACATTGCTTTGTTCCAAAGCCTATAAAATCTGAGCCTGGACTGACAATTAAAATGTTTGTCTCCATGCCCAAGAAGTCATTACATGCATTTTGCTCATCCTCAAAAACTTGAGAGAGTGTCAGCGAGCTCAGCTATTACACTCAGCCCCAACAATTACAAGGTCCACCACACTTTCCACTGGTAACTCATTAATCCCAATCTGTTGGAGTTTGTTTTTCCTGGCAGCCGCTTTTTGCTCCTTTGCCACAAAGCCAACACCGATGCTTTATAACTGCACAGCATTAGGAGGCCCATTAATTTGACTTTTTTTTCCCTTCTCGGCAATTTAGGTCTAATTGAATACATCAAGATGTAGGGCTTTCCAGATAAATATTTCCATTTAATAATAATAAAAAGAGCTTGAGTTACATGCAAGAATGATGTTGCTTGAGAAAGTCCACATAGCTACAATTATCGCATAGAGATAGCCAATGATTTCCTCTACCTCTGAAAGGTCTCATTACAGATCAATCATTCCCAGCAGCGAAGGGAAAGTTGAGGAAAACAAAATTAATCTATTTTCTCAAAACATGAGGCCTTTAAAAAAAATGTATCTGGAATACATTTTGCAAAGCTATTGTTTCGGCATCTTTGTTTTCCAAAAACAGCCCATATCAATTCCCAGTTCATATTTCCAAAAATTTGATAGGTATTCCTGAATTGTTACTGTTATAAGATGGCGATTTTCTATAATGTGCTAGAGCTCACGAGATGGACTTCAAATTCCATCATACCATACACCTCAAATATTAACTGAGACCAAAAAACAAATATAGGAACCACGGGTTGATTGCAAATGTTTAACAGAGGACACATGGTTGAAAGGCCGGCAACAATGAATGAGTTCTCTCTTACAGAAGATGAGGTAAGGCATGTGGAAAGCAGAGCCTGGGCTGAATTTGCAGCTCTGCATCTGCCCACATATCTCTAAAATGAGACCCAGTCCATGCTTTGCAAGTTCCCCGTTTGTATGAACTTGTTTCTCGAAGAAGCTTGCATGCACCCCATAACTTTCCTTCTGACATCTGCCTAAGCGAAACCAAAGCAAAATAACTCCTCAAACCTACCAGCTCATTGCTTGTAGACGTAAGCCTCAGCTTCTCTTCGATTTCTCTTCCTATTTTCTGAACGGTTACCTGAGTCTGTTTGATTGCACATTGGGCCCGGTGGAGCCTGCAAACAAATGCACAGACAGGAAATTAAGCATCATTTGCAAATAATTCTACAGCATTGAATGCAGGAAAGCTACGTTTCATTGAGAACTGGTGGAGCAGAATGGCCATCAGAAAGAACTATGAATCAGAAAATCCCAGGTTTGGAACTCACTTAGACTTATAATTCATAAAGTGGCCTTTGAGGAGCCATTTATTCTCAGCAACTCCAACCCACCCAGCCTGCAGTACTAGGATATTAATTCTCAACTCCCATTGCAGGTGATTTTTAACATGAGAACCAAATGTAGATAAAAGCACATTCTAAAGTGGCATAACTATGTCCCTATTTTGAGACATGGGGAAGGGACAGCCCTCTGCACCATTGTCATCCCAACTCTCGTCAGAGTGACAAAAGACATTTCTCTGTAATCATTTGCCCAAAGCAGAGACTCCCAAGCTGTGGCCCTTGGACCACATGCAACCTCTGCTCCAAGATGTTTTATGGTCCTTGACAGCACTAGAATCCCAACAGACATCTTTTTCTGGCCAAAATGGAATGGGACGTGCTGCTCCTGAAATCCTGCAATTTAAACATTTATCTTTTGAATAGGTTACAAGGCCTCTTTGAGCAGTTTAACATAAAAAATGCCCTATTTGGGGATCAGATTGCCGTATTCCAGGGGATTTTGGGTGTTTCATTTTATTCTTCATATAGTCTAAGTGATGTCTGCACCAGACTAGCGTGATGTAGTGGTTTGAGCATTGGACTATGACTCTGGAGACTGAGGTTTGATTTCACACTTGGCCATGGAAACTCACTGGATGATCTTGGACAGAGGTCCTCAAACTAAGGCCTGGGGGCCAGATGCGGCCCTCCAAGGTCATTTACCCGGCCCTTGCTCAGGGTCAACCTAAGTCTGGAACGACTTGAAAGCACATAACAACAACAACAATCCTATCTCATCAGCCAAAAGCAGGCCCACATTTCCCATTGAAATACTAATAAGTTTATATTTGTTAACATTGTTCCTCATTTTAATTATTGTATGGTTTTTAAGTGTTTTTTATACTAAAAATAAGATATGTGCAACATGCATAAGAATTCATTCATATTTTTTTTTCAAATTATAATCCGGCCCTCCAATAGTTCGAGGGAGTGTGACCTGGCCCTCTGTTTAAAAAGTTTGTGGACCCCTGATCTTGGAGATGTCACACAACTTAGCCCCAGAAAAAAAAACCCATGACAGTTTACCTTGTCATAAGTCAAAAATGATTTGGTGTTGGAAATAGCAGCCTTCCAAGCCTCCACTAACTGTTTGTAAATGTATATAACTATTAACCTATATTGTATGTACATGTTGGTTTGCCAATTTGACTGTACTTCTTTGGTGTGGAAGGTGTTTCAGACACAGGACACCATTTTCGTATTTAATGCTTTTAGACCTCAATGGAGGTGGATGCAGTTGTCTCCTTTCAGACTTCAGTGAGTACAGTTATACAGTTTGGACTATATCTATATGCTTCAAGACATTGGACTATGGACTAGTATGCTGAATATAACAAGAAGTTTGTTAGTAAACCTAAGATGGTATTTTTCAAAGAAGACTTTGTTTTTTTAATCTCTGAGTGCATATTTTAACTAAGAGGTTTTAAAGAAGTGTATATTTTTTGGGCAACTAAAAACTGCAACTTCAAAGAAACAATCATCCTCTGTTAACCAAATACATTTTTGTAGTAGCATGTCTTTATCCTTGGCAGTTTAAAGACATGGTTCTTCAGTTTAACAGCTGAGTTACCTGTGTGTCATTACATGAATGCTTATGAATATAACTTGCTCAAAGAGTTGACTTCTAACAAGGTCATGCTTTTCTTGACTAGTGGTTTCAAAAGGTGGTCTCTATGTTCATTGAGATTCACATTTGCCAAACAGATGTGACATCATTTTTATCTTTTCAATAAGGTTATGGCACACTTATTTCCAATAGGTTATGGAATTTCCAATAGAGGGTACATAAGAAGCCTGTGCGACTCTACAGCAATGCTCTCCAACCTTTGCTCTGCCAGGTGTTTTGAGTTTCAGCTTCCAGAATTCCTGATCATTGGGCAAGTTGTCCAGGGCTTCTGGGAGTTGGTGTCCCAAACACCTGGAGGGCCACAGGTTGGATTGTCCTAGTGCAGTGGTTCTCAACCTAGGGTCCCCAGATGTTTTTGGCCTACAACTTCCAGAAATCCCAGCTAGTTTATCAGCTGTTAGGATTTCTGGGAGTTGAAGGCCAAAAACATCTGGGGACCCCAGGTTGAGAACCACTGCCCTAGAGGATCCCACCGAAGAAAGCTGACTTCCAATCTACTTCAGCTACCCACCCCTTGATTCTGGCCATGAAAGCCTTCAACAATACATTACCCACCCCTTGTTTAAAGCCAATTCTCATAGCGATTGTAACAGCAATGCCTTTAGCAAGGCGTTCTGCAGTTTAATATAGTATTTTTCATTCTCACTCTCATCCATCTGTAGTCTACTATCAATACCATAAGTTAGGTGGACTAAGGTTGACAAAAATCTCTCCTGCTTACTCTGCAATCTTCCTTCTAGGTGTCTAATTACTACGAGGATTGCCAGATCTAAGAGCTGAAAGCCTGAGTATGGCATCGCTCCTACTTTCTCTGGCTAGGGCTACTCTGACACTATCAGATGTGAACAGATCCAAGTGAGAAATCATATAACATATTACTAATGCATCTTCAATGTGCATGAACGTTGCCATGGATCTGTCTACACCAGGACTTGGGGTAAGAGCAGGATTATCCCACCACCCTGTTGCTCATTAAACAAGTCCCTTCTCTGTTGCATGAAGATTGGCCAAAAGCTGACAAAGGGATGGAAACCTATCCCTAAAAAATGCCAAATGTATTGAATTTCAGAATAATTCTATTACACAAGATTCTGAATTATCTGTCTGAGATGGATATGCATTTTACAGTAAACTGCCCAGACCCCTGTATCATAAATCAGTTCAGTCTGCATATTACCGAGACACTTCCCAGACTCTACAAACCCCATGGTAAAAGGTGCCACCTGCAGACAGTGACATCTAGTTACTGTCAGAACATATCAACTATCTCATTTCAAGGTTCATATTTCCTCCATACCTTCTCCTCTGACTTGCTCCAATGATGCAGTTTGGATTACTCTCAAGTTCTATTAAAACGAACCGCAAGATATGCTGGGTTTTGCATTCTAACAAAAAGTGTGATTAACAAAAACTCAACCGTCTACATACTCAATTTTCTGTTGCAAAACACAGACGTGACCATTTGAATGTGTAGGCTAAACAAAGGTACTTTTTGAAAAACCATGGGCCATTGCCTTCAGAACCAAGAACAGCTAAGCAACTACGCTTATGCTAACATAGAGGCTGCGACTAGACTTGGCATGTCTAGGAGACATCCTCCCAAAATAAGAAAATTTGGGGGAAAGGATTTAATTATGTTTTAGGTAGGGTTCCTCAGTGGTAAATTCTCAGAGATGTTTTTTTTAAAAAAAATTCCTTCCACATGCATTTCTGGAGAATAAACATGACTGTCAGGAAGAGTCAATAAACAAATGATTCATGACTACATTTAAAGGTAATCATTATCAAGCATGGGGTAATTGTGACTTATGAAACATGCTCATCTGCAGAGCCCTTAATTCAGGAAAAGAGAATGTGTTTTCTTTCTTTTCTTTTTTTACAGCATACAGCCACAAGATCCAGGTCTGCTCTAGTTGAGTCTGCATCCTTCTCATGCACAGATTTAGAGCTCAAAAAACTGTGCTTAAGTGTCAGGAAAGGGAAAGATATTCACTATGCAGCCCGATGTTCTATTTCACACACTTTGGTAACACATAAAATCCACCAGCTCTAGGTAGTCTGTTCTTTCAGATGCTTAACTTCCTTCACACCAACTACACTCACAACATTTTCCCTTCTGCAGACACTACCTAGACTGACATAACTGTGCCAGTTATGCAACGCTTCGACAGAAATCTGGCCTTGGACTCTCATGTCAGAGCATACATCTCCACTAAAATATGCCATCTTTACTTATTATTAATTTAATTCCAGGCCAAACCCCATGTTTGTTGAAATAGAGGTCCAAGACCTTTGCAAAAGAGGAAAAATTGAATAAAAAAGAAGTATTTTCTAACCTGGAGAACATCTCTTGAAATCTCTTGGTCCTTCAGCATTGTCACCTGAGGACCTAGAGCAGTGGTTCTCAACCTGTAGGTCCCCAGATGTTTTGGCTTTCAACTCCCAGAAATCCTAACAGCTGGTAAACTGGCTGTGATTCCTGGGAGTTGTAGGCCAAAACACCTGGAGACCCACAGGTTGAGAACCACTGACCTAGAGTGTCCTACACAGAACATTTTAATCAAATCCACGAATAATCAGATCAGCAAAAGTCTATTAAGCAAATGTAGAGGGTTGACTGTAATTTCATTACATGACATAAGGACCATTCAGTGGGAACAAACATATGAGTGGCAACCTGCTGCAGGTTCTCAGGCACCAAAATCAGAACACATTTTCAACAGAGCCTTATAGTCAAGCAATAAGGATATCAGGAGCACATTTAGATGGACCAAGGGCTTGATGGACAGTGACAGAAATAACTTCTTTATCAGCTCGGTAAACCATCTCACCCCATCACAGGACTACATTCATCCTACCGTGGGTGCACTAAGTTATTAAATTACTAAGAAAGATTTGCACTTTCCTGATCCTCAATCCATCTGCTGACCTCTCTCTACTGGATGGATACCCCTTATGGGTGAGAACACACACAGGTTCCAAATCTGGGGTGCATAATTCTGTAATTCAAGCCCTGTTCTTTACACCATGCCAAGGGATCATTCCTTGTGGTTAAAAACACAGAAGCAGGTGTAAATTAACACAGGGTGATGTGCATTGACTGTGTAGGACATACATCTTCTCACTACTTCCTGAACACATTTTGGTCTTTCAAGGAAATGGGATT